GTGTGTTGATCTTTACACAAATTGTTAATCCCACTGAATAAAATTTCAAACCAAGTTATCGTGACCAAACGAAATTGTAAAACTCTACTATTTGCCTAACCCGAAAATCGAATCATGTTTGATTTTTAAAACGATTTCTATTTTAGAACTACGTAATATTTTCTAAGCTGCCGATACATCTATTTGATGAATATAATAAAGAGAAAAGATATATTGTTTATTTACACTGAAAAAGCCCTGAAACTATTGGACCTGCTTAAAGAAAACCTTCTAGAGATTATGCGGGCGGAGCCGTAGACAGAAAACAAAATTCAGACTTCGTACCCACATCACTAGAGTATCAGCGGAAACTGATTTCTAATCGCATAAATCTTATTACATAAGCTAATGCATACTGCTTCTTCCCTTACTCATATATTACGACACTAAGTCAACACATGTCTGAACGTCCGTGAACTCATTTTTTACCGCTACACTCATTGTTACTCATTACAACTATCATGTAATACTAATTATAATTGCATCCACACCTTCATGTCTGATGTCTTAGGGATTTGCTGTTAAGCAGAATAAAGGGAACTAGTAATCAAATATGAATCATTGGTGTTTACGGTGAATATTCAAAATGGTTTTCTAATGAACAGCTGAATTTGTCATCGGTTAATGGTCTTACAATTATTTACTAGGAAGTATGGGTGGCCTGTTCTTTCTATTTACAGTTATAGGAAACTACAGAAGACAAAATATCTAACTTGTGGACAGGAACAATGGATTGGATACCCTAATTCCGTTACTTTAGAGTTCGATTTTTTCCTTTTGGTGAAAGAACCAATGCTACGGTACAGTACTAAATAATAGCACCTTTTTAAGAGAATGTATCTAAAAATATTATTTTTTATTTGAAACTTTAGCAAGCAGCAGAAGCTATAATACCTCTTTAAGCAGTCAGAGATATAAACAATGGTTTGTAAAAAATCGATATCCATGCTATGGGCAGCCTTGAAAGTAGCGACTGGTATTCGTAGCACTACAATTTTGTGTAGTATGACATTTTATGCTGGCGCCAGACTTGTGCACATTGGTTTGTTCACTTATGTGTTCTATTGTAATTCACGGACATTTGATGCTATTTTGTCCGTGCCACATAACGTGAACACTCATGTGAACAAACGACTACGTACATGTCTGGCACCGGCATTATAGTAAAACCACGGTGTAGGCATGTAGAATTGTTTTTCCTTTCGTCATGTATGTAGATCGGCACCTTGTTTATTAGAGAATTTAAAAACATAATAATGTGTACGTGCATACATCACGGTGGAAAAGTACGATTTAATGTTAGTACCTAATTACCGTATTCATATTTTATTGCGTTTAACAATGCTTTTGTTTATGAAGGTTATTATAGTACATTAGATATTTAAAAACACAGTTAAGTACGGGGCAAAATCATGGAAAAGTGTTTTCCACCTTTCATTTTTTTTTTCAGTTATTTAAATCAGAGAATTGTTATAACAACGGTATCTATATAAATGCATTAAAGATTTATCTAAACTGCATAGCAATTAGGTATATTAATCTCTTCACAAAATGTTTGAACAAATCAGTCTTATAATTTTGATAATAAATAACGAATTACCTACGCTTCGCTGACGTATTGAAAATTAAAAATCAATTAACAAGAATTGACACGACAGATTAAGGTATAAAGCGATCCATAATAAACACATTAAAACCATGGCTTATCCGAACCAATAAAAGCCGCTACATGTCTCAGTACTTATCGACCTGTTTTCAGGAAGAAATAACTTTAATTAATTGTCTGCGAAGATTCAGTAGGCCACTGAAGCGAGGATCTGATGAGATCTAGTTTAGTGACCTAGTTGTTTCTGTATAAACACTATTATTTGCAGGGTTCCACAATATCTTTATCTAAGCCTAAAACATATACTACCTACGTTAATGGTTTTGGCCTGCCCTCTTTTTCGTATATGAGCTTAGTCAGACCTACCTTATATATTTTACCTGAGCCTCTACCTTTGAGGAAAAACAAACATTAATTACGAAGATGTCATGAAAAATAGTATGAGAATTCAAAATTACAAATAAACAGTTACCACTAGACCACAGGTTAGACTCATATTGTGGTTTACATTGACCGTTTCTTAGGAAGAGTTTGTTGGGGTCAATTGTTTACTAAAATAACTTAATTGTTGTCAAGGTGCGTAACAAAGTGACTTTTGTTTAGCTTGAGAAAAAACATAATTAAATGTTGAATAAAAAGTGGTGGAGTTCTATTGTTGTACGGATTTGTGACGTAAAGTGACTGGTCAAGATTAAAGTGAGTTGTTAGGTTGAACCAATCGATATAGCACGCGGGGCACGCTAGTTGGTCTGGCGCGGCGCACGGCGTGCGGGTCATGAAGTGCCGGCGTGCCCGAGCCTGCTATACTTATAGTACTTATAGACCAGTCTGCTCTACCAACTGTCGTCCCACTCAGCCAGGGGTGAAGGACTAGCGTAATTAAACAACACTTGTATAATAAAACCACATCTCATGCTCGATTTATACGATTTTAGATTATTGTCATTTCGATTCAATAAATTTCGATAAATTCTTCCTACGTTTGGCTGAAATATCAATGTAATGAGTCAACCTGTATACATAATTTTCCGTAGTTATAATAAGGATAATATTTTTTTAATTACAAATGACATACAATATTTTTGCTAAATGTTGCGATAGCAAAATTTCAGGAAAATGGAAGTACTTTAATAACTTTTCATTCTCGTTTTTGCTTCTGTAATATTACCTTGCAGATGTAGTAAACTAAGTATTTAATACCCTGTAAGCTACTGGCCAAGCAGCCATTAACATACATACTTATATTATGTGGTTTACATGCTTTATCTCAAACAATTTCAACCTTTTGTTGAACACATATAACATAAAGTCGTAATAACAAAGTCGTAGCATTTCGAAAGGATCTAAATTCTTTAGCGTCGCATTACTTTGTTTGAACATTTGATAATATAATTCACAATAAACAATACATAATATTTGAACACTGTGAAATAACGAGAAACGAAATTTACGTAAATGAGGATAACAAGACGGTACTTGTGATGTCACTTGTTACAACAGTTGATGCAGTGATTAGAGGGAGAAAAGAACTTCGGGTTTGTACAACATCATCCCTTAAGTACTGACTGAGCTGAGACCAGCAACAAGCTACAGGCAACGAATATTTTATAGCATTTTCCTCTACATAGTCTACATCCTTTCAGCATTTTTTAAGAAGTTGTGATAAGCAGTCTTACGGAGGTACACTCGCTATGTAATCAAGTAGAAAGATTAATGAAACGGACTATAAATACATAATGCAACTCATACCTGCATAATACAAGTCAAATGTAGCGGTCACTAATAAATTTTCTGTCTTATTGAAGGCAAATTAAAATCACTTTTACACTACAGCCGATAGAAAGCACAAATATTTTGGCTAAACCACCAAAGGTAAACCGACACCACGTGCATACAGAAACTGTATGAGAAGGAAATTACTAGTACCTACTTATAGAATAACAAATAAATCGCATTTATTATCAACTAAGATAAAACGGTACCTGTGTCATATGTTGTTGAAGATAAGATACTTGGTTGAACAAGAACCATCAAAATTGCTGCTATTAGTCAACGAATACTACTATGATGGATCACCAGTGTTTATTTGGCTTGACATTATCTTAACTTGTCTATTTCCTTGCGTATCTGCCGAAATTACTTGAGACCACGTTGTGGGCCGTATGTTTAGTACTTACATCGAAACAGCTGTACTAGCAATGGCTGTTGATGCATAAATAACCGGCGACGCTCTCGTGACGTCAACACTTGATTTATACAGCAATGTTCTTACTTTAATGACGTACATTTATGGGTGAAAGGCTGTAGGATACTCTCAAGATACTGTTTATTGCTGCTTAACGGCCTGAAAAATGTTTTTCTTTCGTCAAATCTCACTGCAGCAACCAATGTTATGGTCCTTTTAGTCGACATAAAATTCAAAAAACTTTAATTACAAAAAGCATTGAATGTCTACATAAATCTTGGCTAAGGTGTATGAAACACATCAAATAATGATAATGTAAATAAATTGAATATTAGAACGCATTCTGTTCTCAAAAGTTGTTTTGTGCAGCCAAACTTTAAACTGAAAGATTTCAAAGGATATTTTCCTACAAGGCTATAAATATAAAGTTTTCGCGTACTATTTTTAAAGATTCAATAAATTAAAATCGAATTACCCATAAAAAGGTTGTTAATAAAAGAAGCCGTAATACAAAGTTTCATTGACGTTAATATGTTGCTGCTTCGTATAAATCTTCATAGACAGGTGTAATGATTGCCAACAGAAGTGAATAATTATAAACATTAAATTCCTAAGGTACCAATGTTTACTTATTCAAACGTTTACCTACGTCAGATTTCGTAATAAGACAAGCCCACAAAATATGAACCATAGGTGTCAGTAAACAGTATGTTCAATAATATCTGTGTGTTACGTTACAACCTGGCTTAGCGATGCGGTTGAGAGAAACCGCGAAAACCGAACCGAGCTACCATTGCGACAGTATAGATTTACTACCTAAGTATAAAGATTTGGCTTAGAGACCACTGATTACAGCATCATTCAACAACTCATTCTTGTAGCAGTGCATCAAACAAGACCCGACTTAATTCACACATTACTAGGTATTTAACAATTCATGGCACGATCGTTAAATTTTGATTTATGTAGAAAAATGCTTTGTTTTCGACGAAGTGCGTGCGTCTTCGGAACGCAAATACTGGCTTGTGTACGTACATAGGTGTTATGTAAATAATCAGCCTCCGCGCGGAACATATATGACTTTTGATAAGAACGTTTACAGGTAGTATTTTGTTCAGCCGCCAGTAAATAATATATGATGTTACGTGATAAGGAATTGTTGAGACTTACAAAATATTCTGCGGAGCTCTGGTCTGCCAGCGAGGGTGAGAGCAGACAGCCAGGAGAGGGCGGTGCGGTGGCCGCTGGGGGCGGCGGCGCCAGTGACAGCAGCTCACCAGCCGACGCTGACATGCTGCCGGCCGCCGCCAGGCTGCGGAGCCGGTCCGCCAGGTCCGTGTGCCCAGAGTTACAGACCTTGCTGATGTTGCTATCTTTTTCATCTTTAGAACTCAGATTGTTTATAATCCGTGGCCGGCGCAACTTCCTTGACGCAGCACGCCACCGCCTCAGCCGGCAAGCCGCATTGTTCAACACTTCTTCAGTTTCACGGCTTTGCTGTAACTCCTCCTCAGAATGCGTGGCATCGTCTCCATCTACCTGTTCATCTATGAAAGGTAGTGTCTGCGATAACGCGGATGGAGATGGTTCTCCATCACTGAGCGCTGTACTCGATGGGGTCAAAAAATCTCTCAAAGCAAAAGCGATCTCCTGGTCAGCATTGAGTCCCACCGGTGCGTTATTCGGAATTTGTTCGACCGACATATACCGACTCTCATCGATTTTGCCATCTTTGGCATCAGTCTTCAAGGCACCATTTTCATTAGAATTCAGATCCACATTAATTTCTTGATTGTATGAAGGCATTTTGAAAAAGCGGCAGTTAATAAAATTCATTTGTAATTATATTAATGCCGCACCGGCACTGAGGGTATACTTAAAATAAAATAAGCTTAAATTTCACGATCTGAATATCTGGTTGGGGCGACTCTGATTCCGGCATTCATTGAAACCAAAACATAACATAGGCAACAATCCGAACATTTTTTATCATAAACTCCACGATACACTAAATTGAACTTTTATATCTACTGCAGATTTAAAACAGGCACGGTTATTAAGTTTGTCTCGTAATGTTAACTGCAACCCACTGAACTAAAATTTAATTTATTTAATAAAAAGGTATCACTCGAATTTGTCATAATTAAAACTCGCGGCAATAATATTTTTTAGTTTGGATTGCATTCACAATCAGCTTCGAATTACACAAGCAGTGTACGCAAACTGAGTCGAGCACTACTGGCTGGCGCTATCATTCTAAGCTATACATATACTATACGTGACGTTCTATAAAGACAGCACACCTCTTGTTTGTATTGACGACGTATGCCCGGCTTGCGCAGAGCGAACATTGTCGGTGGCGCCACGCAGCGGATTCATGACGTACTTTAACAACGCCATCTGTGCTAGTTTACTGTTCGAGTGATAACGCGAACTGGGAAGCTACTGGAAGCACGGCAGTGCGGAACATGTTCGTAAGGTGGCAGTACTTCAATACAAAACACACAATTTCATTTACATTAATAACTTGATTATTATTGATTTAAAATTAGCATACTACAGTATTAGGTACACTATCACCAAAGTCGCTATCTGTCTAATTGTCATTGTGACATCTTATATTGCTTTAATTGATTTGTCACATGCTTTTGTTTTACAAAGTGAGTAAAATATATTTAATTAACCGTAAACCTGTTGCCAATATCTGTAAATTATCCCATTCTCCACAGAATTTGAATGGAAACAAAAAAGTATTTTTTTACCACTATTAATTTAGATTGGGCAAGAAAAATATTGGAGTTTTAGCGATATTCTTGTTAGAACAAAATAAACATGTGGACAAAATCAAGACAGAGTCCAGTAGAAAGTTGTAATAATTTAGGCCCATTTCCATATTTAGGTAGGTAGGTACCATTATTTTCATCAACAAATTCTACTACACACTACACGGTTGACGCGGTGGCTGGGCAACCGGCTGCCGCGCAACGTGCAGCGGGTTCGATTCCCGCACGGAGCAACTCTTTGTGTAATCCACAAATTGTTGTTTCTGGTCTGGGTGTCATGTGTATGTGAACTTGTATCAGGAGAAAATCCTACACTGGGGGGCAATGTTTTTTCTAAAAAAAAAACTGAAAACAAATCACATAAATTATTAGGTCTATAAGCCAGTTCTTCCATGTTTTTTGCTTATGAATATTATAAATAATTGCGTCAATCCAGTCATTACTATCACTATTACCTATTCAAAAGAAATGTCACTATATTTCTTGAAATTCTTTCATAGTGACACCACACCGGGATATATATATTTGTAGGTCATCTGTATAGGAAAATGTTTACAATATAATAGGTTTACATTAATTACGGAGAAACCATTTGTAATTTCAACAAGTTGTTGGTGACGTAACAATTTCCCTTCCACATTTACTTACGTCTGTAGTGTTTTTGTCAAAAACAATATTGAATCACCAGTACCTACATATTAGGTAAGTAAAGAGTTATTATGGTTATACCCTGTATTACGCCTTATCTGGTATGGATACGTGAAGTCATCATATTTAGTAAATAGACTGCCCATTACGTACTCATAATTACAAATAGTCGATAACTCACTCGTGGTTGTAGACGTACTTAAGTTTCGATAGACGCTATAACAATTCGTTTTTCGAATTATATATTCAAAATTTACCAAACATAGTACAATTTGTCAAACATAATGAACATATCTACCTATCTGAATAAAGTTAACCAATAGAAAGTTTTTTGAACAGTTTAAACTAGGTATATAATAAATACAATATGTATGCACAAAAACTGCACCGACAAATAATTTAAATGGCGACCCCGCCACGGTCTCATAACTATGCAATGTGTTCATGAAGCTCAATGGGTATGTTGAACGACGTTTTATTATCCATTCGACAAGGCTGAATGACAGATTACGACTGTACAGGCTGACTGATATACACACTAACATTACTTACTAGTTTATTTACGTTGTTGCTTCGGTTGTAGTTGTCGCAAGAATTGTTACCGCTGAATGTAAGGTCTCACTGTAGTAAAATATCACACAGTTTATACCCACGACCAATAGCTAGGTACATACATGGTCAGTTTTTTTAAGGGGGGAAATTCATCGAATGGCTGCTCCCGCCTGGGTGAGGCGGGAGGGAGTGTCAGACTCTTACTGACTAAAAACCACCCCGTTCCTTCTCCTGCACGTCGAGCCGGAGCCCCGGTTACCCGTTAGGTTCTCCGCGACATACATGATCAGTACGTCGTTATTTAAAAGATTTTCTACGAAAATGTCTTTAAAAATCTTATGAAAATAAAATACTTTTTCACTTGGTAGTTAAGAATTCTATCTTAATAAGGAGCGAGCCCATTGCTATATACCGGGCACAGTTGCACGTTTGTTGACTATCCAAGAATTGAACTATATAAACGATCTGAACATTTGTCCAACTTTATCATCATCATCGTTGGTGTTATCGTTTTCTGGTCTTATTTTTCACTAGCGTATTTCCGCGCAGTTTCACCCGCTCTACTCGGCTCCTTTTGATCGCAGCGTGATGTTTTAGCCTTCCTCAATTTTTCTCGACAAAAATTTTTTTCAAATCGGTCCAGTGGTTCCTAAGATTAGCGCAATTCAACAAACAAACAAACATGCTCTTCAGTTCAGTTTCAGTTTTTATATTGTGGTTATTGGTTCTGTTGAATTTTTAGTCAACTTACGTCACTAATTATTATTAGTGTCTGTTATGACGTGCCGGGAATAACATCATACACACCATAGCACGAACTTATTATTTAACTAAGTTAAATTCGCGAGTAGAACCAGAGTGAGCGACAAGTAAAATAAACATATTATGATGTTTTTATAATCTTTTGTTACAGTTCTATACTAGCCATTACGGTTCAAGAGCGATGAGATTACAATAATTTACTCTTTCAAATGGTGACGAAAATTACGACACTTGCCCGTTAACAAAAGATTAGTAATCCACATTTTGTTGATTGCAACAATTTGTCGCCATATGATCATGCGCATTACACCATGAAGGCTGCAACAGTTAGGGAAATACCATCAATTTTAAGGACGTATTTAATGTTTAACTCATCGTCACCTTCAACAATATCAAACAGTGGCCAGCTACGGCGGCCGGCGTTCGTTTTAGTAAATTAATCGAATAATAAGTATTTTTTCAAAATGTGTTTGTGGATTCTGACAGCATGTTTGGGGATGCTCCCAGCGAACCCAACGCCAATTGTGATCGTGTCTGGGGTACCGGCACCAATCATAGTGCCCACTGCAGCACCAGTAACGGCTGCCACCACGACCACTACTGCTGCTACGACCACGAACGCGACATTGGCGCCTACACCACCACCCACGACCACTACGACAACTACGACAGCAGCGACCACCACCACCTCCACGGCAGCTCCTACGCCTCCCCCTACAACCACAACTACAACTACAACTGCAGCTACGACGACGACGACGACAACAACCACAACTACTTTAGGTGGCATGCTTTTGTCTCTCATAATTTGTATGGATCCTGACGTAGTATGTATAATTAATCCTGATGAAACCACCACAGGCCCGCTCCCGATTGACCCTCGGCTCGGCACCACCCCGGCTTCGGCAGCTGTAAACATGCCTCCTATAAGTGGATATAGTGCACAAATACCAAATTATAATACCGCTGTCAATTTCCCACGGCAACGCAGAAGCGTGGACCAGAAATCCGGAGTAAACATGAAAGAGTTCTTATGTAACTTAGGATCCGAGAAAGAACACAGAATTGTAAAAAGACAAAGTAACTGTGCATGTGTGCCCACTGGAACTTGTATCCGATCTGGTACTAATTCAGGTGCTGGTATGATTGACATCAGGATAGTTACTCCGGTAAGTAAAATTTTGATTATACATTTGAACATTTAACTTGACCTACGAGTAGGTACAGTATCAAAAGTTATGACTCAAATCATTCAGGTAGTAACTCAGTGTCCAGCTGGTCAGGAGTATTGTTGCGGCAACACTACTACGTCTACATTGATAAATTGTGGTACGCTGCAATCTGTGCCCACTACAGCCATTACACCGGCTGCTGGACAAGCTAACTTTGGAGAATATCCTTGGCAGGTATGTAGTGTAAATACAGATGAAGTTTGATGGTCAGTATTGAAATAAGACTGCTAAGAAAGGCCCTACTTACATTACAGGCTCTAATATTGACGAGGCAGAACGACTACATAGCTGGAGGTGTTCTGATTAATCAGCTGAATGTTCTGACTGTCACCCACAGATTGCTGCCTTATGTGTAAGTTATGCGTATAGAGGCCTTAGAATGAGTTTATTTTACGTTTAAAGTAATCGTAACGAGTACGCGTTCGGCGCTCTGATTGGTTGGTTCATTGGTGGTGGCCAATCAGAGCGCCGAACGCGTCTCAACGCCTCAGATAGAAGCCTGTTTTTTATCTTCTTACTTTAGTGCATCTAATAATAATTAGTATTAATTAAAAATATTTCAAAACTAAGTACTTACCTTATCGAAAATTAATCTATATAAAACATCAGTGTTTCAGGCACAGCTCCAAATGTGAAGGTCCGTCTCGGCGAGTGGGATGCGGCTGGCACTTACGAACCTGTTCCCTTCCAAGAGTACACAGTGACCAGGGTGTTTAGCCATCCGAATTACAACGCTAATACCTTGCAATACGATATCATGGTGTTGAGACTATCTGCTACTGTGCCTATCACACCCAATGCTGGAGCTGCAGTCACTATCAACAGAGCTTGTCTACCACCGACGTCTAACAGCACTTATACGGGACAAAGGTACTTACTTATAAGGGTACTTTTAAAAGTTATAAGCTGACTCTTATCTGCGGGTATAAACTAACTAAAAGAATGGTGATAGCTAGTCAAATTCAATAGTTTTTGATTGTCAAAAAGAATTGGACACAACCAATTATAATTTTTGCGATTTATTATTGACTCAGTTCATAATTATTATTGAGGTTTGCGACTTTATTGCTTAGGAATCACAATTTTTTGATAAGGTAAATGTAGAATTTCCAACTGTTATTTGTATGAATGATGAAAAATGAATTTACTTAAGTGATGGACACTTAACGTAAAATAAAATTCATTAGCATACTTCATTAGTCATTTAGGAGCTCAACGATAATACATAAAGTTCAAAAGAAATTTACCAAAACTTCTTTCTCCTTTTAGATGCTGGGTATCAGGTTGGGGTAAAGACATGTTTGGCATCCAAGGCCAGTATCAACAAATATTGAAAAAGGTAGATGTACCAATAATAGCTCCTGCCACATGTCAGACACAAATGCAAACAGCCAGACTTGGAGCGTCCTTTGTACTGGATACCACTTCTTTCATCTGTGCTGGTGGAGAGGCCAACAAGGATTCGTGTACAGTACGTATAACATACAAAATATTAAATGTGTGCTATTGAAATTACAGTTTTTGGTGAAATAGTTCTCATTAATTTCTCATTTCTCATCGTTTGTGTTAAAATACGGTAAACATAAAGTTAACCATAAAACCAGTGACTACACAATTATCAATTTGAAATAAGAATTGGTAGCCAAAACATTTTTAAAATATCTACTACTAGCAACAAGAACGAGAGTTCCAAAAGTGAACATCAATGTCGTCAGAACATTACGTGTGCGTTAGTTTAATTTTGACCTCCGAAAACCTGCAAAATTTACTGAATTTGTAAGTACTCCAGTACTGATAAAAGTATTGGCCTTTTTCAGGGTGACGGAGGTTCAGGCCTGGTGTGTCAAGTGAATGGACAGTGGGTTGTAGTGGGGCTAGTATCGTGGGGTCTCGGCTGTGCTAATGCCAACGTTCCCGCCGCATATGTCAATGTCGCAGCTTTCTTACCTTGGATACAACAGCAGGTGGCCACTGCATAGTGAACCTACTATAAACTCGATCTGTTGTTATAAGCTATGTCTGTATTGACAAATTAGACATCGACTTATTTATATATCAATTATACAGATTTTCCTGTAGTTGGTTATACTTTAATTAGTAGCTAGCATACCTATATAATGTAGGTAAAATAGATAAATACTAAAACAGGTATAAATAAAAACAAACACTTATGGTTATTGAAGCTTAACATAATATATTAAGTTAACAGTTTATACAAATAGCCATGTAAACATTATAAAACATACTCCTAGCCAACATAAACGATAGGTACGGACTACTTACAGGAAATTCAGCGTTCTGAACGCAAAACTTTAACAACTAACCATTAACGAAACTAACCACTTAAAAATAGCTCTTACGGACGTAATCTAGTATTGCAGCGGGATTGATGCCCGCGTCAGGGACGACACATTCACTGTACGACAAGGCGGCATCCAGTTACTCCTCGTCTGGCTTCTCTTGTTTTACTACGGGGGCGGGAGATGGTGGTGCGGGGGGAGCAGGCGGTGGTGGTGCGGGGGGAGGTGACGACACTTCAATATACTCGTCTGTTCCTCGCTCTTCCTTGATCTCTGGCTCACGTTTAACTTCAGCTTGTGGTGGGGTCGACTGAGGCTCTGGTGGAGCCAAAGCAGCCCACGCAGATGCAGCACCACGAGCATAAGCTTCATAGAAGGCTCTCTGTGCTATCTCTGCCTCTTCAAGGTGCACGAACGCATGATTATCAAGCTCCGCGCGGAAAAAGAATTTCAGTCCACAACGCGCGCAGTCGTAAGGTCGTGGTGCAGAGGCGTGTTCAGGCAGGTGGCGTTGCAAACCTGCCGCACTGGTAAATACAGCTGAGCACAAGTAGCAGGTGAAGGCACCAATGCCAGCAAACGTATGTTCGATGAGATGAGCCTGCAGTCGGGTGGGAGAACCAAGGGCTCGTCGACACAGGCGACAGTCGTGGTCGGCAGGAGGTGGGGGTCGAGGTGCAGCATGACGAGCATAGCATGCTGAGCAAGCACGTGCTCCCTCGCCTGCCTCACCCTCTGGCAATGCGCGTAGACATATCGCACACCTCTGCTCATCCTCTCCAGGTCGCAGATGAAATCGTGCATGCAGTCGTGCCTCAGCTTCGGACGCTAATGTTTGACGACACACAACACAAGGTGCCGGCAAGGCTGGGTGATGTCGCGCCATATGACCAAGGAATGACTCCTCAGATAATAGACGAGCACGGCACCGAGAACATGTGTCACCCGATATTACCTGAAATGTAAAAAGATAATTCTTCATTCATGATTATAAAATAAAGTGCTCTGTTCTCGGCCATAACTTTAAAGTAATCAAAATGTAATTAATTCACCATCGAAAATTGCTGCAACTCACCTTGCAGTGTGTCAATTTATGTTCAGCTAGCACTGCGGCAGATGGCAGTACTTCATCGCAGATAAGACACTTGTGCCTAGCAGCAGCTGCACCGGAATGAGCTCGAGTATGGGCTTCTAGCTCAGCGCGACTTCGCGTCCGCTCTCCGCAGTAAGCACACTGCAGGGCGACAGCGCCATTCTTCCGCCGTCGTTCTTCACTGGCAGCCACAACAGCTGTGGTCACTCCACCGCCTTCAGCCCCCGGAGTACACGGAGACCGTGCATCCTCGCCACCGTCAACACCGTTACTTGTTTCCATTCGTTTTACTCTTGGTAGTTCTCCGTTTAAGACCTGAAATTATTATTTTTTATTTTGATATATTTACATGAGCGACAGTAGGTACTTACGTAACGTAGACATTATGTGTATTAATCTCAGGAATCCCTTACCTGTTGTTGCATTGCATGATGCGCTTGCATGTGCCTTTCAAGAAGATACTGTACTGCGAAAGCATCGTTGCATGCTGGAACGGGGCATCGATATGCGCGATGTGGTCGTGGTGTCCTCGCAGCCACGCCACTACCAAGTAAAGCACCGCACGCACAACGTGGGGCAGCGGCTGCGTGGCGGGAGCGGACGTGCGCAGCGCCTTCAGCTTCCGAGCGAAGAGCACCCGCGCCCACGCCACAGGAACGACATACCCACACCTTGTTTTCACCACTGTGTGCTACCGCAAAGTGCACCTGTCAAAGAAAACAATTAATATTATAGATTTTTTCTTTTTTTTTTTGTTTATTTGCGAAAAATTACAAATAGAAATTAATGGTAACGTTTTGTTCTCCTCACCTGAATTGCAACTTTCGAATCAAAGACTTCTTTGCATAGGGCGCACCTATATAGGTGATGAGCATGCAGCTCGAGGAGATGTTTTTGCAGGTCATCAGGAGCAGAGAAACTTCTAGCGCAGCTATGGCAGGTGTACTCGCACGAAACTGCCAAATAGTGAGCAGTCAGGTGACGCTCTGAAGCTGCAGCATCCGCAAAGGTAGCACCGCAGTGAACACAGGGAGCGGGACTGGATCGTCCTAGCTCTCCTCCTTCTTCCAGGTGTCCTTTTAAATGAGCTCTAAACGCTTCGAAATCTGGCAAAGCGGCATCGCATTGATTGCAGAGGAGTGTGCTTGGTGATAAAGTTGTTTGAGGAGTACCCGAGCCGGAGCGAGGACGTTTCACTGGAGGTACTTCATCGGGAGCACGCCGACTTAGATCTGTAGGTGCAGGCTGATCCACATGGACTGGTCCCTCTCCATTTAGCAGCGCAGAATGTGCCGCACGAACATGAAGTTGTAGTTGCTCCATGCTGGTGAAGGTATCGCGTGTGCAGTAAATGCAGGCGAGTAGCGTGGGCGGCGGTTGTGAAGCAACACGCCGGGGTGGGGTCATAGCCGCTGTGTCAACGCCATGGGCGCTCACCATGTGGGCCTGAATAAATACAATAAACAATACCCTTAATTTTAAAATTACGATAGATTTGACATTAAACACAGTTCTACAGAATACAAAACTTAAGTGTTTCAGTTAATATGTTAAAAGTCAGAATGTACCTGAAGCAGGTCAGGTCGTCGGAAAGCGTCTCCGCATCTCAGACACCGTAGTGCTCTACGCCTGTCAGGCTCTCGACCCTCACGATCCCGCTTGTGGCCCTGCATGTGTGACGTCAGTGCTGCTGCTGTATTATACCCTCGGTTGCACACAGTGCACTGGAACGGCTTCTGGTTGTCGTGTGTTTTCATATGAATCTTCAGGTGGTCACTGAAATTTACATAGACTCAGTTATTAAACTGTTT